TAGACTGGACCCATAGAGTGCAAACATTTGAAAACAATTAATAACATTTTAAATTGCACCCGATATAAGACAGGGAGCCAGTGCAGGTCACACAGAACAGGTGTGATGTGTTCATACACTCACTTCTGAATTCACAACTAACATGTGTCAGTGGAGTCACATTTTCTTTTTGGTCATTTTTAAGAAGATTTTCTGTATTTTACCTAAACAAATGACAATTTATCCTTCTCTTTACTGTTGGCAGGGATCAGATTTGTCAAAAATAGGGACACCTGAGACATTTCTTGTAAAACTAGGACTAATTAATGGGTTTGGATAACTCCGCTGGAAACTGGGATGTCTGGTCTCTACTCCTGGGGCCAGACAAGGATACAGTTACTTTTTATTATTTGTTAAGTTTTTTCTTTTACTAAATGCTTTTGCTAGCGTGTCAGCATGATCTCTTAAAAAAAAAATCACTTAAAGGAAAGTAAGTCTTTCCAGAGGGAATAGATAAAGTGCATTTTTAACCAGCCAGTTAAGTTTGGTTTTGTTTCATCATATCAGTAGGTTTTGTACTTTAATGCAGTTTTTTTTTTTTTTTTTTTTTAACAATAGTCACAAAATAATAATAGTTTTCATCAACTTTAACCTTGAAACACAAGTCTATAGAAGCTGAAGTGTTGGTGTAAACACAATTTGACTTGTAGCTTTTGCCGTATCTGTAAATCCTTATTTGAATTCACGCCTCAGGGCCCTGCAGCCTGTACATGTAAATCATTTGCAAAGTGTTCTGTTTTTATAGTGCTGACTGAAGACGAGGCCTTGGAGCAGATCTTCCATGATGATGTGGAAATATCCGATGAGGAATACAGGATAATCAGCAAAGATAAAGGTAAAGGTAAATTCATATTTTTAGGCGTGATGACCTTTGGCCCCAACACAGTTAAAGATGTGGCAGTAATATTCAGTCTTTTTCAGTCATTGTGGAGCTCAACAGTCTCACACATTTTGAAGGCTCCAGTTTCCGCATAGATTGTTTGAAAAATTCCAATTTGACAGTTTAAAGGCACGGCAGAGGTTAACCAGCTATGAGATAATAACTAGTGTTTATCAGTCTAGAAATCTAAATAAAACATGCATCTAAACTTAGAACTCCAGCAGTTTATGGCTATTGGAAAAATAAATAGAACATTTACTCACTGTTGTTTCATGTTCTATGTTAAAATGTTGTTTCCTCATTATAAACAGACCCAGAGTTGTGTTTTGTTTCATTTAATTGGAAAACACCTTGCACCATTGCACCTTGTGATGTCATGTGGTCAATCAGGAAGTGCTCCACGATGTTTTTAAACTCCACACACCTTCACTACATAGGCTCTATTCACACTTACGTTGCAAACCAGGAAGACGTTTGAAAACACACGATGACAACTTACATAAGTCTGACAAAATCAAGGAAAATGAAAAAATGGTCCAGTTTTTTTCATCTCCATGTCATCGTAGCATTCCGTTATGTTCGGCTAATCAACATCTTCAGTTTTCATCATTTCCCCCGCTGATGCACAACTCCAAGTGCACTGGGTACATGTGATTAGAAGAGATGAGGCGACATACGTCTGCAGTCTTCATTTTACTGTTGATCACATTTACTTCAATGGGTTCTATCACCATCGGTAGGCACATGTTTGTCATGTGTTTCCAAACGTCTTCCTGGTTTGTGACGTAAGAGTGAATACATGCATCAAGAATTTCGGACTCCCATTGCATACTGGGAAGGATTTTCCAAAAAAGTGAGCATCAAACCTCCATGTTTGTTTTCCCAGTGGGATGTGTCTATTGACAAAGTCGATCTTTTCAAGTCTTTTGAACCATATCACTTTTGTTTCTGGTTCTGATATTGTCATATTTTAGTTTTGGGATTCGGACATCGTAATTGTGTGTTTGTTGGATCCTAACACTGGAAAACGGCTCGACTGCAAACCTCTGTTAAAACTGTTTCCCTTCCCAACCAAATTGAAAAATAATGAAAGGTGAAGGTGATGGGCAGGATTGATACACAGGAAGGACCAAAAAAGAAACCTTTGACTGCCTAAATCAGCGTTTACAGCGAACATTTTGTATGTGGAGCACCATCAATGTAAACTGTAAGTAAACTGTTTCCCTTCCATTGGGAAGAGAAACAGTTTGAACAGAGGTTTGCAGTCACACACATCTGATTCCCTTTTGCAGTTATGGAGTTCACAAACTTCTGAAGCCCGTTTTCCGCTGTTAGGACATCTAACAACCACACAATTATGATGTCCGAATCCCAAAACTAAAACATGACAATGTCAGAACCAGAAATAAAAGTGATATGGTTCAAAAGACTTGAAAAGATCGACTTTGACAATAGACACATTCCACTGGGAAAACAAACATGGCGGTTTGATGCTCACTTTTTTTGCAAAATCCTTCCCAGTATGCACTGTGCAATGACTGGAAATCCAAAATTCTTGATGCATCTATAGAGCCTGTCACTTGGAAAATTTTGGCCCTGGAATTCGCAGTCTCTACTGAACAAAAAGAAAACTACCACTTCATGACATCACAAGGTGGAACGGAGTATTCTGACCTTTGGAGATGTATGAATGAACAAAACACAACTCTTTTATTTATTTATTTTGTTTTGAAAAGGTAACATTCTAATCTGGCTTAAAACTCACAAGAGTCAATTTTGCATAATGTATGACCTTTAAAACATACAATTCTACTAAATGTTTTGATATATTAGCTTTTTATAAAGTTTTACAAATAGAAGATTCACTTTCAGAACCTCACTGTTGAGTTCCATCAGCCAAGAAACATATAAGCTTTTTTGATATATTTTGTACATGTATGTAATAAAAAGATCATGTTAATGTCATTTATACAGTAGCTTCTGTTTTGTGTTGCAGTTCCCCGCCCCCCACCACCAGGGGCAGTCAACTGAACTACGGCCAATACACGCCAAGCCATAAACCCTCCTGTACAAGCACCACATCTGTAAATGCTTATTATAACTTCCATTTAAAGTTTGACAAGAAATTGTTTGTTTTCTTATTTCTTTCCAAGTAAAAAAAATTATATTTATTTATATCCAACATAAATATCTCTGCAGAGGTGTATCTAAAAATGCACACAGGCCTAGTAAAACTGATTGATCAAGAGTTAGAATTTGGGATTAAATGAATTTATAGTGGACCTGTTATGCAAAATGGTCTTTTCAGAGCTTTTAAAAATGTTAAAATGTTATAGTTGTTGTATTTAGAGTGATTCATACATGTTTGAGTAAGTCTTTATCCTCCTGTATTCAAAACAACATTGTTCCAACCTATCCCAGGTTTTCACCACCACCGGTACACACCCACTGCTCTGTTCTTCTTTCTCTTATTTTCTATTTTATGCCCATATAATGCTATTTTCTGATTTGTTATCATGTTGTTTCCTCATCCCAAATAGACCTGGAGTTGTGTTTTGTTTCATTCACATGTTTAACACACAAACCCTGCAGATTTAGACTGAGTACTCTCCACACTATAGCACTTTGTGATGTCATGTGGTCTTCATCTCTTATGTGATGTGTTTTTGTAACATACTGGAATAAATGTTCAGTCATACATCCATACCTTTTATGAAGTAGCCTAAACTGTGAATAATTAACCTTATATTAAAGGTGCATTATGTACATTTTTGGTTGGGGGTCCGTCACCTGCTTGTTTTTGTGGCAGGGGTGTGTAGTCAGAGCAATCAAGGCAAACAGTGGTTCTCCAAAAAAAATCTAAAATGATCACATGTCAAAAGTATAACTACATAGTTTCAAATTATATCGAAATAATCCTGTTTTCCTTTTTGATGCTTAATAATAATTACATAGATAACATAGTTCTTAAGGCTTAGCTGCATAAACAAGGTGTAGGAATAGAAACAAATAGACCACAAATAGCCCTGTTTGTACTAAGACGGTGTCAAATACTAGCCTGACTCATCAGACGGTTTCACTTCGTAGAAACCATCTGATCTCACAGCATTAGGATTCGTTCGCTCGATGGTAGGCGGGTATTTTTTATATTTAACCAATCCTTGCTATTTGGTCGTGACGTATGTAATGTGCTGCTAATGGGGTTAACAGGTATATTAAGCTTTTCCCAAGAGCAATAACGTATGATAAAATTCACCAAACATTCTCTTTGTTCCGGCTTTAAATCCTCTATCTCAGGAATCGTTGACAACACAGAATATGTCTCTTGACTGATTGGCTGGTGCCCGAACTCACACTTCTGGGGTTCTTGCAAACCATCTATTATATTTTTTCATTCCTGACCTAGTCGCTGGAGAGAAATGAAACTGAGTGAAGGCACTAGGTGTTACCAGCCTGACAATAGTCAAATACAGTACAATATATATAAATATTATTAAACTATATAGTCTAGGTGTCATTAATTTTACTCCAGAATGGATCAGTATATATACAATTAATGTGTGTTACTAATTTGCAACGTAGTTTTCATAAAAAGTGGTGCTATTGAAATGTTAGTGACTAAATATTGATGTCCACCCCAGCTTGCCTTTCCATAAAAGTCACCTCACACTAGTGTTGTATGTCATTTCTGTGTCTGGAATGTTCCACGTTAAAATGTATGACATTAAACAGCTCTAACTTACATTTATTCAATTACAGGTGGTTTTACAGCTCCAAAGTATCTAGAAAAACAGGTATTCTGACTGTGAGCAGTGTCGCCTTTCCACAGATCTGACCTGTAACTCGGTCTACATGAAGAATAAAAAGGTTTAAAAAAGCTTTTGATGGACCCTTCACCAAAAAAGTTACACAATGCACCTTTAGCCTGGTAAATAAGAAGCGCGCTGCTGTTTCCCAGTCTGTTGTGCCACACCTCCCTCTGCTGGCCGTTTGGTGAAAGTGCACGTCCAGAATAGAAACAGCGGAGCTACTTTTAACTCTTCACTGAAACGGACTAAAAATAAACTGGATTTAACTTGTATATTCAACATGGACGACTTCGCAGGTTGTCCGCTCTATATTTCCGGTTGTTCTGGGTAAGAGTTGGACATTTTTGACTGATCGGGACAAATGCAGCTCCAGTCAGTCTGAGGGAAGTCCGGCTGCTGCCATGTGACTCCCCCGCTGAACCCGAGCCCCGCGCGGTATGCCAGCCGTCATGTGGAGCCCGCACACCGGTAAGTGACACCGCCTGCGCCCGGTGTCGTCCAACGGAGCAGCTACACGTCGACTTTCCTGCTCCTGGGGTTTTTCCCGCTTCTTAAATTCAGACTCGAGAGGTAAAGTTTGGACTCGACTCAAGAAAAGTGTGTGCAAACGGTGCGTAAACGGTGCGCTTCAGACGCAGACATGCGCTCTCTGGTGGGACTCGCGGTGATCATGGCGGCGGCGAGCGTGTACCTGTACCTGCTGTCCACGCACCTTCCCCGGGGAGTGAGGCCCAGCGAGCCCGGGGCGGAGCTGGAGGACGACGAGTACAGGTAGGAGCCATACGGGGGAGGCTATACATGCAGTCTATGGGAGAATAGAGGGGCAGGGTGCAGCGGGGCGCAGCATCACAGCACAACAACTATCCAAAAGATCCAAATCACTTTTATTCAGTTACTTATGTATGGACCAATGTTTCCGTGTTGTAACTACTAAGTAAAATGTCCCCAAACAATATGTTTTGTATGATATATATGGATAGGCCTATAGCCCAATAATATTAATAATAACCCACATACCTGTATTATAATGAGGACTAGAATTAATTGTGTCTTGGGCTGAATATGATTTCAAAAAGTAGGCGAATGGTTTCATGATATAACTGATGCTTAAAGAAAGAATATAGAGCTTTTTGTAGTTATTATGTACTTGAGGCTATTTAACTCATATTTGGATTTTATTACATTGAAATAGAACAAAACATACAAATAGTACAGATGACAGGTGTTTGTGTAACTTTTATGGGGGGTATCACTTGCTGCTTTGCCTGGAATGTTCCACAGTATGGCATTAAACATGTCTCTATCTCCATGGAGACATCAGGTCATGCCAACAGGCCAAGTCAGGTCAGATCTGTGGAGAATTGATGTTTTTCAAGTGTTTGAAACAAAGTAATTCAATGTAGTGCAGGTAAATGAGTGAGGGTCACAGTGTGGGAGATACATGTGGGAGAATGTACAAAGTAGTGCACTAAAGGAGCGTGGCGTCACCCACAGTGTTCACTCCACAAATGAAATGAAGCTCACAATGCTGGAAATTATAAGGGTGAATTTGGAGCCAAGCCCCATGTAGAGTGGGTTCATACTGTACAGCAGGTTAATACGAACATTTTAAGGCCAAAATGAAGAACCTGATAGCAGCATTTACAGAGAGAGGGGGGCAGCGATTTTCCAATGTAAAGTTAATTGGAAACTAAGTGGATGGAGCTGGAAACGCCCCCAAGAAAACTTCTTATTTGGAAGGTGGCGGTTAATGGGTTAGTTATGTCCATTTACATAAACAGACTGTGGGGACATGAGAGGCTCAGCAGTATAACTCACTTAAGCTTTAGTCATGGACCCCCCAAAAGAAAGTACCTCAAACCTCCTGTGAGTAACGCGATCTGAGCAAGTCTACTTCCCTGAAAGTACAGCATCTGTCATACACCACACAGCTCTATACTGCACTGTACTACACTGTATACTGCACACTACTGTAGGCTGTGGTACAGCTCTATATAATGTGCTCCACTACACTGTATTTGTTTTAGAGTTTCTAAACCCCAAATCCTTATATGACTAATATATGAATATATATTATAATAATACATAAATAATATATTTTGTATTTGTAAACAAACAAACAAAAGAAAACATGTCTGTAAAATGAAATGTTCTGTCTTAGACAAGTTTCAAAAGCTCAGTGTTCTTTGCTCCGATCTCCTCCACCTGTGTCAGGTTACATAACGTCTCTCACTGAATCAGATTTACAGCTCTGAGTGAGCACAGGGCTCATCTTTATCAATATTATCATTACTGTGTGTGGAGATGTGTGTGTCTATGCATGTGTGGAAATGTGTGTGGAAATGTGTGTGTGTTTGAGGCATGTGTGCATGCGTGTGCAGTAGTGTGTGTGTGGAAATGTTTGTGTGTGTGTTTGAGGTACGTGTGTGTGTGTGTGTGTGTGTGTGTGTGTGTGTGTGTGTGCGTGTGTGTGCGTGTGTGTGTGTGTGCGTGTGTGTGTGTGTGCGCGCGCGCAGTAGCGTGTGAGCCAGATGAGTGAAGGCTGATAGAATATCGCAGAGCCAGTCCCTTTGAGGCCAGACCAGGACCGTCGCACACATGTGTAATTCCTGCTGTGTACAGCAGGGGCCCCGCTGAGCACAGGGCTTCCCAATGACATGATCTACAGAGGAGCTGGTGTCTTATTACCTTCTCAAAGGTTCAGGATGACCTACGTAATTGTCCCTGCCAATCTGAAGCTCTGTGTGCCAAATGTAGCTGTCATCCACTGAGGTCACATCATATCACAGTGTTCTAGTGAGTGTTGTAGTATTGTACGATACGATAACAAGTGATATATTGAAAAAACTGAAACAAACAACAGCTGTTGGCTGGTGTCCAAATGTGGCACCTGGTTTTCCCAGCGGTCTCCCATCCGAGTCCTAACCAGGTCCGGCTCTGCTGAGCCTCTGAGATCTGAGGCTTTGACAGGAGGTTTGGCCATAACTGATTCACAACAGTAAACAGGAAACACAAGGCATGAGCTGGACTTTAAAGAGTGAATCATTTAATCTCCTCCTCCTCCTCTCCTCTTTACATATAGAGTCTTTGCATGTGTCATGTGTTACTTTGAGATGTGATGTGGGTTTGGTGACTAAAGCAGTCTCAGCTCAAGACCATCACTAAAATGATGTTAAGCCAATGTTTTCTACATGTTTACTGTTCATAATACACATTTCAAACATGTCCAGGAACATTAATATGAACTTAAAATAATTCCATGAATTTCAAAACATCTTGAGGTCTGAACAATACAGGGTTAGTTTTTCAGTAATGTTTTTTTAATTTACAGACGACCTTGTGTTTCTAAATAATTGTGATCTTTCTGACTTGATAAATACACCTACTACATTTCTGATTCAACTGCTACATATTATGGAGCCCCAAAAAGCATATACATACATACTACTGGAAGATGGGTGTTTTTTTATGTATACTTTGAGTTTATAATTTGAAGCTATATGCACCCATCTTATTCTTTATATGAATACACCCACAACAGATTCTGACATTAAACCTGATCCTCCTTCAGCACCACGCTGTTCCCAGTCGACACGAGGGGAGTCTGGACTGTCCCCCATGCAATGACAACATCTTTTCTCAGGGGGCGGGGCTATTTACGCACATCCAAAAGTGCCAGCTCTGCACATTTTACCCCCAAATACTCCAGTGTCCAGTGTCCAAACAGCCCACCGCCTCTCCACCAATCAGAGCGTGGCACGATCCTCTGTCGGCCAATGAAAAGGAGGAATGCTGAGGGGTACAGCAGGTGCCTGGAGAAGGCCCTCTTGAGTTTCAGCGGGGGTTTTAGTGCGAGTGAAAGTTTGAGGAGTGGTTTCGGTTTCCTGTTTTTTTAAGTGTCAATCAAACATATCCAGTGACTTTCTTAAGATAAATATAGGGTTAGGAAATTAACTTTGGGAGTCAGCGTGATCAGCTTAGCCTAACATCTAAGTATTTGTGTACTTTAAATTATGTCAACAACAGTCTCTCATTAGTGATAGTGTAATCCATCTGCATAGTAGTGGCATCAACCAACATTTATTTTAGAGACAACTTTTTGACTAGTATTACCTACGAAAGGTCCTATATTACGCAAAATTGACCCTTGACATTACAAGGTGGAAACAGTGCTTTCTGTCTGAGAGAAGAACTCAGACTTACTCACCTAAATCTGCAGGGTTTGTGTGTTAAACGTGTGTGAATGAATCAAAACATAACTCCAGGTGTGTTTGTGATAAGGAAAATACATTCTAACATAGATCAAAAAACAGCTTAATTTGGGCCCTTTATAAATGAAGGTTGAAATGAATTGTACTATATTGCTTGTATTCTAATTTATTTTAATCTAGGAGTCTCCAACCTGTAGCTCGGGAGCCACCAGTGGCTCTCCAGCCCCTTCCAAGTAGCTCGCCAATGGATTTCTGAATTATACGTATTGATGCCCAACTTTGTACACTAATAAATGGATAATGGGTTATGTTTCATAGGTATCTAACTTAGGGTGATCACAGTCTCAAAATAATAAAAAAAAAAACTGGGACACCCTCCGTTTGTGGCAGTTAGTAATAATTAAATTGTGAATCGAGTAATTCAGAACCTTTTTGCACTCGGCCCATTCATGACTAACATCAGTCAGTACAGTCACATTTTCTTTGTGTTTTGGTCATTTTTCAGCAGCTTTTCTGTATTTTACTTAAACAATGTATGTCTCCCATTACTGTTATCAGGGATCAAATTGGTCAAAAATAGGCACAGCTGGGACATTTCTTGTATAAAACTGGGACAAATCAGTGGTTTTGTATAAATCTGCTGGGACAGGGGACACAGGGCTCAAAACTGGACTGTCCCGGGTAAATCGGGACATCTGGTCACAGTAATCTAACTGTCCCTCATCTAAGACTTGCTGAGGCTCTTTTATATGCTAAATTTCTTGTGACTGTTAAAACTAGTAGCTCTCTGGCATTTCTGTTTTGTAAAAGTAGCTCACTGGAGGAAAAAGGTTGGAAACCCCTATTTTATCTATCTATCTCTAATTTCTTACACAGTCTGAACACTGTGACATCTCTATGTGTTTGCATTATTTCATTTATATTTCTTTGTGTGTTTGTGCCAGTCTGAAGTTCCCCTCGGACCTGGATGAACTGAAGGAGCTGGCGTACATGTTGAAGCTGTATAAGAGAAATCACCATGGATACGTGGTTCTGCTCTTCTGCTCCGCCTACCTCTACAAACAATCGTTCGCCATCCCAGGCTCCTCCTTCCTGGTTAGAACCTCTCACTGCATTTGTCTCAATGGGCCTCATCATTAAAGTGTCCTAAGTGTAGTCCTCATATACAGACTGCAGATGATCAGACTGATCTGTGTCAGGCTCCTACATGAATGACGACTGTTATTTTATCTGTTACTGTTTTAGAGAAATAGGTTTACAAGATGTAATGTTTACCAATGTTTTCATTTTAATTAAAAAAGCATAAGAAGAACTTGTGATGTATGTGACATGCTATATTTAAAAGTAATTTATACAACTGCATATTTAATGCAGAAACATGCACATATTGTATTTACACTGCACTTTTCAAGACACCCAAAGTGCTTTAAAGTGCATTTTTCATTCACTCCAAACTCAGTGGTGGTGGTACTGTAGCCACAGCTGCCCTGGGGCAGACTGACAGAAGTGAGATTGCCAATCTGCACCACTGCCTCTCTGACCACCACCATCACACATGCACACAACATACTAAGACCACAGCAACAGTTTGCACTGGAGTCACTGCAGTATTGGTAGTAACCACACCCAGAATGCTACAGCTTTTAATATGTACTGTCTATAGTGTAACAATTATTGTAATGAAGTAACTTAATGTGTGTCCCTGGTCAGAACATGTTAGCGGGGGCCATCTTCGGTCCGTGGGAGGGGCTGCTCCTGGCCTGTCTGCTCACCACCACCGGCTCCACCTTCTGTTACCTGCTCTCCGCTGCCTTCGGCAAACAGTACGTGGTCCAGTTCTTCCCCGACAAGGTGGCCCTGCTTCAGAGGAAGGTACGTAAGCTTTAAACATATACACTTTATCTCCTTCTATTCCATTCACCCTGAGTGTACTCTCATCTGCGCCTGTCACATCTGCCCTGTCAACTTTTCTCCTATCCTCTCTGCTCTTGTCCTCTTTTTTTCCTCTCCTCTACTCCTGTCTGCTTCTTTATGCACCTGTCCACTCTTGTGTACTCCTGTCTGCTCCTGTCCTCTCTGCCCCTGTCCACCCTGCTCCTGTTCTCTGTTCCTGTCTGCTCTCCTGCTTCTGTCTGCTCTTGTCTTCTTCCATTTGTACCTGCCCTGTCTGCTCCTCTCTGCTCCGGTCTCCTCTGCACCTGTCTGCACCTGTCTTCTCCTGTCCTGCCGGTCTGTCAGGTGGAGGAGAACCGCAGCAGTCTGTTCTTCTTCCTTCTCTTCCTGAGGTTCTTCCCCATGACTCCAAACTGGTTCCTGAACATCACGTGCCCTGTGCTCAGTGTGCCCATGCCCATCTTCTTCTCCTCCGTCTTCATAGGTGAGCGTCTGCATGGTCCTGGGCCAGGAAACTGGTCACTTTTAAATCAACATCAAGATTTAATCATTTCTAATCATCGGTGATCAGCTTCAAGGGTGTTTTTAATGGAGAGGTCTACAGCCAATCCTCAGTAAATGCATGTGGTTTGGAGCAGAGATCAGATTTTGGAGGAAAAAATTTGACTATTTTTGTGTTAAACGACACTCTGTTGATCATGTCCATAGAATCTAAACTGAAAGCTCTTTATTTGGCTTTTGAAAAACAAAAATCCAATGTGATTCATCAATTCTCTTGTTAAAACTCAGATAATGAAATGTGTAGAGTCAATCTATTGACTGGGTGGAAACCAAAGGAGAAGTGCCCAAATGAACCAAAACAAACATGACAGCTCCATCAGACCTATTTTAGCATCAGTCTGTTTAGTTTATGAAGATGTCTGTGCTTTTCTTTCATCTGGGTGTAACAAACATTTGATTTTTTTGGTTTGTTCCACTGTTGTGACGCTTCGACCAGTCAGATTCAAATAGTCATCGTGGCGCTTCATGTTTTCCGATCACTTTCAGAGAGCCATCAATGTTTGATAAATGTGTAGAACTCAATTCAGAGTGACACACTGATCAGTCTGGCCTGAGCCTGTGTAGTTTAGACAAGGAGTCTATAAAATGCATATCTAAAGGCTAAAGGAATTATAGTTCTGCATCAACTCGGCGCACCCTGCCATCATCGCCTTGTCGCCGTCGTTTTTGATTTATGGATCTGTGTCGATGTCTATGCACCACAAATTCACCACTACAACACTAGGAGGCTAGGATTTAAAAATAGTGTTTGTGTATTCAGAATGATGCAGGAAAGCGGAGTACTGGTAATGTTTGTCGGATGTAGAGAGGACCAACCACAGCCCTTAGTGTCTGCATCATTTCGACAAGTAGTTAGAAAATTTCGGAGGTGCACGTTGATCGACGCAGACGCTCTGTGGATGGGGTTCATGGCGATGCAGACTCTCTGCATCGTGACACAGACGATTTGACACACAACCATAAATTGGGCTTAATGCATCCCCCTATCAGTCATCTCAGACCACAGATCAATCTTAAAAATTCATACTAAATTCAAAATACTGTACAGTACTCTTAAATCCTTAAATATTCAATTTGTTCAATGAGATGTATATGAACTGTCACTGGCAGAATGTTGTACTAGTACTTCTGTTGTGCCCACCATAGCGGTTAGGATGCATATGGATATTCAAATCAGCAGCTCAATAGTTTTCAGAGTTTATGTCGTTAACCCTGTTATATGTGCCCTGTGTATTCCAGGCCTGATCCCGTACAACTTCATCTGCGTGCGCACCGGCTCCATCCTCTCACAGATCTCCTCTCTGGACGATATCTTCTCCTGGGGAACTCTGGCTCAGCTGCTCGCCATCGCCCTCATGGCCCTGCTCCCGGGGGCCCTCATCAAACACTACAGCAAGGGCCATCTGAGCGTGGACGACCTGGACTGTCACGAGGAGAAGAGATCAGAGACCAGAGACAAGAGACACAAGGAGACAGAGCACAGGGAGCGCAAGAGACGGTGACTGTAGAGCCGCAGAGACTGTAGAGGGGGACAAGATGGACATGCCTTTATAGTGGGAACTAACTGGCTCCCAACTACTGCCAAAGTGTTTACTGTGTCAGGAGAATTCACAGTGCCTTATTTCAGGATCCTGAGCACTTATTTTTATGCTGCATTTTTGCATTTTTAAGAGAGTGGTGCTACATGTCTTACATATTTATTCTCATTCTGTTTTGTGTCTGATGTGAAATGTGCTCACGTGTCTTAATACTTGAGAGAATTTTTTTCTGGGAGTAGTTGAAGTTTTACACATCAGAGGAGAGCAGTAGTTTTACACAGGCCCTAATGCTGCAGAGGTCTGAGATCAGGGACCTCCCCCAATGCACTTAGAATCACAACTGGACTGCAGACATACCAGGACTTCTTTATTTATGTTATTAGGTTCTTTTTACAGACCAAGAGTTTGTTTTCATACCTGACAGTTTGGACTGCTCACTAGCGCTCTTCCTCAGAGTGATCACGTGATGTTGCTGTGTCGTGTCCGGTCAGTTGATTTAAACAGGTTTTGGCGCTGTCTTCCTACCGATGGAGGCAGGACGACAGCGCCATCTGCAGTCCCACTCCCTCAGGACAGTATCCCTGGTGTGTGAGAGTAAAAAAGCCCCTCATCCCAGTTTATAGTCCCGTATAAATCAGATAACCGGACACATCACAGCAACATCACGTGACTCTGAGGAAGAGCGTTAGTGAACAGTCAAAACTGTCAGGTATGAAAAACAAACTCTTGGTCTGTAAAAACAACCTAATAACACAAAATATCGGAAGACCACATTAATCTCATTGGACTTCTTTATTTACATTATATTATATCTTGAGTTTATATTAATATGTATATTAATAACAGATAGTCCTGGTAGCACTTTACCTCACTGTACATTCTGTTATTACACAGAGTATTTATTTCTAGTACTACTTTATTTGTAATATTAATAAACTTAACCCATTCATAACTATAAACACTGTAAATCAGTAGGGAACATGGTTAGTATTTTCTTAATAATAAAAGAGTAAAGGAGACATTTGTAATCCTTGTTATCCCAGTTATCATGTTATCACCATAGATCAGGGATCTTTTTCCTCTGGTGAGCTGCTTTAGGAAACAGAAATGCCAGAGAGCTGCTCATTTTAGTGGCTGCAAGAGGGTACAGTTAGACGCCTATAAAACATAAACCACTGTCTATTTATTAGTGCACAAAGTTGGGCTTCAAAATTATATATTTACAATAGTAGTGGGCATGTAATTAACCACATTTTTGTTATTCAGCACATTGGTATAATTCAGAAATCCCTAGGCGAGCTACTTGAAAGGGAGTGGAGAGCTACAAGTTGGAGAACCCTGCCATCGATAGTACTATCATGCCATCACCATTCTATTACTGTGAAAATCTATAGACTAGTATTACACAATATCACCCACCCCTATGTCTTATACTGTACATGTATGTGCTAAAAAAGTCACATGACCATTCAGATGGATACAGTCTAATATTTGTAAAGGAAAAGCTTTGTTGTTTATTACTGTACATTACAAGGTGTAATATGTTATAACTATACTCAAGTAGTTTTTGCTGTGTATTATTATTGGAGAAATTAGTTTTCTTTTCTCTTTGGTTTCAACAAGTCTTTTTTTGGTGTGTGTGTATATTGTACTGTATATTTCTTATTCCATAATTACTTAAAACAACAGACTCAGTTGTATAGTGGCTTTATTTAGGTCACAAAGTAATGGACCTCATTGGCTTACAACATCTCCAGTCACCATAAACACACACATACACACACACTCACAAAATGATCCAAATAAACAAATGATACAACAAAAATGCAAAGTTTCTTCAGTTGATGGAAGACAAAATCATGCACACGTTCACACAGGCTGAATAAAGGGACTTCTGTGCATAGTGTTCAGGTCAGACACATGAGCACACACAGCCAGAATACACAAAGCACAGGTGGAAGACTGGGCTTAAAAGGTGCACTGGGTAGTTCAGATTTTATAAAACAAAACAATGTGACAAGCTAACTGGAGGCACTGCTCTGTCTGAAGCTCTGTTACGTGAGTTAGACTTTCATTTAAGATTTGTTTTATCACAATCTAACTATAAAGAGCCGACTTAGCTGCAACTACAACACGTGGGCTGATTCGTGCTGTTAAACATGTCCCAGTTACATGCTAGAAAATCAAACACCTAAAGTGGACCGTGAATGCTCATATTCATATTTTTCTTGAGTTTCCAGACAATCATAGACATACAAGAAGCACTCCCAAGCCTGATGATAAAGTATCAGTAGTGTGGAGGCCTGTTATGACTTGATTGTGAAGTGATTTGGTAAGAATTTATTTATGAACAAAATAGTGATGAGGCTCACAGTGAGAGAGGTGATAATTTTTCAATGTAAAGTCAATAGAGGCATCATGAATTTCGGACTTCCAGTCATTGTGCAATGCATACTGGGAAGGATTTTCCGAAAAAGTGAGCCATGTTTGATTTCCCAATTGACAAAGCCGAGCTTTTCAAGTCTTTTAAACCTTTTGTTTCTGGTTCTGATATCGTCATATTTTATGTCATTCCGAGTTTGCAGCGAACATTTTGTATGTGGAGCACCATCAAAGCAAAATTCCATTTGTTAAGTGAGAGGTGCAGAAGACAAACAGGCTAAGCTCGCATTTTCTTGTTCTTGTGGCTTTACAGCAACATTATGTCTTGGTTGCTTTGCAGTGAAAGGTGTTTCTTGGCGAACACCTGGTGCCTTTCACTTTTGACTTTTAAATTCGTAACCGAGGTTGAGAGAGATTATGGTTTTTCTTTGATGGTGTTCCACATACAAAATGTTCACTGCAAACTCGGGATGATTTAGGCAGTCAGAGGTTTCCACTATTTTTTAATTCCTTTGGGAAGGGAAACAGTTTGAACGGAGGTTTGCAGTCACACGCATCTGATTCCCTTTTGCAGTTATGAAGTTCACAAACAAATTTCTCGAGCCATTTTCCGCTGTTAGGATCCAACAACAACACAATTAACGATGTCCAAATCCCAAAACTAAAATATGACAATATCAGAACCAGAAACAAAAGCGATATGGTTCAAAAGACTTGAAAAGATCGGCTTTGTCAATAGACACATCCCACTGGGAAAACAAACATGGCAATTTGATGCTCACTTTTTCGGAAAATCCTTCCCAGTATGCACTGCGCAATGACCGGAAGTGAGAGATTCGTGATGCATCTATTGAAGTCAGAGACAACAGAGCCAGAAGCGCCCCCATGAACACTTCTATTTTGCAGGTTAGCCATGTCCTTTTGTATATACAGTCTATGGTGTGAACGCAGCCTCATACACAGTGCACCTTTAAAGCATCGACACAGACAGCATACTGCCCCCTGCTGTTGTAAACATGAAAACAAACATCACATTTGAACATTATTTGGGAGTTTTCAGGCACATGCATCGCTGTGCTCTGGTCTCCATTACGCAGAGGCCACTTGTGCTTATTTACACCAAAACAGAACTCATAATGAACCGCTTTACACAACAGTAATAAGCATTAAACGTAACAGCAGCAAAATTGTATCTGCATTTTGACCAGATTTCCAGTAAATGTGTGTTATAGTGCAAGTGTGCCAGACGAGCGGCCATTTGAACTGCTTCAGATCATGCAGTTTTATTCGTGCAAAATAATTTTAGAAACAGTTGTAAAACATAAAACATTTGGCTTCTCGAAACACTATCTGGTAGTGCTTGAAATATGAACTATATTTGTCAATTAACGGAATTTGAGAGGATTTAGGCTCAGTTTGGCGCAGGCAGACTTAAAATCTTCTTAAAGAGGAGGTATTAACTGCTAACACATAACATATTTAGATCACCATGTTACCTTTTAGTGTTTTGACATGTTTAATAAGTTTTGGTTTTGTCGCTCTGAGTGTCCCCTTCCTTTGGTCCCGTGCTAAGTCACTCTCCCTTCAGAGCACTATCACAAATGCAATTGGTGTGCATCGCGTGAATGAAACTACTACACATTGCATCAGGTTTGAGTGTTGTAGTGTATCGTTTTGTATCCCGCTTTTGTATATTTTGGGTCGGGGAGAGATCACTAAATTACTCAAACATGCATGGATGACATAAAAAAAATCTTCTTCAGGCATGTTTTTGATGAAGGAACAACGCAATAACATGGTAGATCGTTCCAAAAAGTCAAATTTGCATAATACCCCCTCTTTAACATAAATGACACAAATACTAATAAATAAATAAAACAAAAAAAAAGCTACTTTACAAAAATAATATTAAAACTTCAAATTTCAGAACACATGATCTGAATGAAGTTGGGTTGTGAGAGAAAGTAGTGAGCACTGGCCTTAACTTTGATAAATATATAACAAATAATATAATATAGAACTGTTTTATCCAGGTTGTTACAAAAAATATGTAATAAAATAATAAAAATCTGTCACATTTTGGTTGTATTGTTACATCTTATTTAGACTAAACAAAATAAAGTGTATGTAAAAACGCAGCAACTTGTAAGGGTCTTATGGCGAACAGTAAGATACTATATTGAAATAGCATAAAGGGACACTGTGGAACTTTTTGGGGTTCCCGTTTCCATGGAGTTGTTATTGATTTGCCAAAAAATGTTTCAAAGCATGGCCTCAAATACTACATCTAGCATTACCATAGTGAAAAATAAATCATGTTATTAGGCAGAGTTACAAGTCAAATCTGTGGAGAAGCGATCCCACTCACAGTAATATTTTAGCATTATATACACCTTTAATGAAATATATGATTGATAGATAATAGATAGAAAGCAATAACATCTCCATGGAAACAAGCAGGTGATAGAAAAAAGTTACGCAGTGCTCCTTCAAGGGTTTTAACTGGCTATATGGATTAAAATTACAAACTTTTGGACTTGAAAATGTCTTGAACTTAATTTGGCTTGTAAAATGGCTCATTTTAAGGGGTATATATCTATGAAATAACTGATTTGATAGCATCGTAAAGGCCCTGTACCCAAATTTTTCTCCTATGTATTTGAGCAAAATTCGTCTAGGTCCAGTACATATTGTATAAACAGCTCTTGAGGTCAAAATAAGTCTGCATCTTATTATAACATGTTTGACTGTCTGATAATCAGGAGGTGCTCAATTAGCATGCTAGTTGTCATTAGCTTTGACAGCAAAACTCTGGTCTCTGAAAGTTGTGAAAAGCACTCATAAACTCATCTCTGTGACCACTGCAAACCATTTAAAATAGTTTTAAACGGTTATATTTTTTGTAAAAATCAGGTACAGCTCCTTTAACAGAACAGAGCCTGAATGCCCCAACATAACAACATCAATATTCTTCCTTTTCCTCTTGCTCCATCATGCAGCCTGAGCAGAGGTGGGTAGTATTCAGTCAAAGATAATGTTACTTGAGTAACATTATTCAAAATTTTACTTTTCTAGCAGCATACTTTTACTAGTACTTAAGTAAAATGTTCATTGAAGTAACAGTAGTCTTACGTGAGTAAAAGTTTTGTTTATGCTTCGGACTGTGGGTAAGTTTACGAGTGAAGAAGCTTTATGTGACAATATGAAAAGATTTGACTATTTGTGTTTCTTGCAGTGCTCCTTCAGATTTAGTTTGTCTCATTTTTGTGTCTGTCCTTTCATACTTTGTGCATTATTTAAAGTTTTGTCCTTCAAATTAGATTAAATGTGCACTGTGTAACTTTCTGGATGGAGAGTCCGTCATCATGGAGATGTTGTTTCTTCGCCTCTTTTTTACAGTATGATATTAAACTTATCTATTTCCATGGAGACAAGAATCATGCCAGTTTACAGGTCTGATTTGGTGGAGAAGTGGGTATTGCTTTATTGTAAAAAAAAACAAAAAAAAACAACTATATTTAAATAATGAGCTAGTTTAATGCCATATTCTGGAACATTCCATGGACACAACCACATGCTGGACTTTTACCAGAAAAGTTACACAGTGCACCTTTAACTTTAAATTATAAAATCAGACGTTGTGTCCTGACAGTTACTCTTGAAGTTACTCTTTCTTGAGTCATTTGTTGGGCCACTACATTGTACTTCTACTTAAATAATACTATTTTGAAGTAACGTTGATCTTACTTGAGTACAATTTTTAGCTACTCTACCCACCTCTGATCCTGAGCTGCTTCTGTCCACCTCAGGCTTTCCTCGGTGAAATAATACAAAAGCGTCTCTTCGTCCTTAAAGCTGTACTGTCCAGTCTCATGCTCTATCACTCCTCCCTGCTGTAAAAACCCTCCGTACATCTGCGCCTCCCCCCTCCCCTTACACAAACCCCTCTCCATCAACCACTCCACCAGGTCGCTGCCCGGAACAGGCTCTCCAGGTGCGGGTGGGGGGTGTGAGGCGGCTGGGGTGGAGGGTCAGTCTGGGGCGCGTCTCCGTCCGTGTCCACTGGGGGGCGCGCTAACCTGTCATTATCAGAGGAAGGATTCACCGGTGGGAGCGGTCACACTCTCCCCAGAGCCACTAGAGGGCAACAGGGCGGGGGAGGAGGGAAGGGAGAGGAGGGGAGGGAGAGGAGGAGCAGGCCACAAGAGCAGAAGAAGCAGAGGGTTATTCCAAAGCGTGAAACCGTGCATGTGTTAGAGACTGTGGTATTGCGGTTAAGTATAAATACATTTACATTTTAATATAGAACAGATTAGTGAGGATACTTCATACCATTAGGTTTACAGTTAGTGTTAGTTAGTTAGGCACAATGCTAAAAGTTCAAACTCGATTTTGATACTAAAAAATAGATTTGACACTTAGTACATATTTTCATATCCAAATGATCTCTTTTTTAGAAAATATTCTAATTTCTAACACAAAATAATATGTTTATTATACCTTGTGGTCTTACACTACTAAGATAAAACTCATGGTGAAACTGGATCAGGAAAAGTATCATGTTTTTTTTGTTTTTTGTTTTTTTTAAGTTTTTTCAATACACAGACAGCAGATTTTTTTGTGATTCGTGCATGTTTTTACAAGGCATTGTCATTATTTATTTCCCAAATATTCAGGCCAGGGTCCCAAAATAACATTAAAATAAAAGTTAAAATTAAGTTTAATTATGTTTCTTTGTGTAGTTTATTCAGTTATTTGATCAAATTCTTTTCTAATTTGACTAAATCACACAGTTTTCATTTAAAAAGTGGTACTACAATTAAATATTATAGTTTAAAGATTACATCTTGAAATCAAGGTGCGACCCCCACTTTGAGAATCACTGCTCTATATGATATGAAGTGTATAGGAGGTTAATGGCATTCCAGCTTCAGATCTTATTACATTGCTATTTAAAAATCACCACGTAGGAGCACATATTACAGCTCTCACTTAAAACATGATCTTGTGAAACTGGAGCTTTATTGTTAAAATGCATATAGCTGAAATGTATTTATAAAGAGCTGACCGCAATACACATAAGACCCAGAGACCCAGAGTCCAGGTGCTCACCTCCAGTGTAGATGACAGTTGTACTACAGGCCCAGTGTGACTCATGCAGAGGAACAGGTTAGAAAAGCACTAGAATGTATAAAAAGTTGTGTATAAGGAGAGCCACTGTACCTGCGCCTGTGCACTACGTCCTGCACACACTGCTCTTTGTGGTAACGCACAAACTGAGTGCACGTGAGCCGCACCTCTTCAGGGACACCAGCAGAGGGCAGCTCAGAGCTGTCCCGACCGTGCCATAAAGATAGCAACCTGCAAATACAACAGATAAGAGATTTATACTACTGGGTTGGTTTTAAAAAGGAATCAGTGACTATAGTCAGTGTCAATAAATCACATTTTACAGCACACTACAGTGAGAGTGGCCATTAAAGCCGTGTTTACATAGTGAAGGGTGAAGTGTTCTGTAGAGGCCCAGAGCTCCATATAACCGGTCTGTCTCAAGTGAGATGGATGGTGCACTCATGTCAGTAACACACAGTAAAGAGTGGACATGGACCTTCTCTGAGTTAAGTCACTGTTCCTACGGCAGTCACTGAGTGCAGTAGGACCATTTTCTTTATACATACTGTAAAGTGCCTTTGTACAGCTGAAATGTCAAATCCAGATAAAAATTATGACTTGATTAAAGCTGTTCCATGTTCAACGTTTTACCCAAACAATAAAAATAATAAAACAAAAAATAAAAGTATGTTTTTTGTTTCCATTTTGGATATGTTTATTGCTCTGAAAAATATGTATTCTTTCATCTAGAAAAGCTTGCATCTCCACAAACCTGACTCTTACTTGGCCTGGAGGAGGGCCAACGTATCTATCTACATGGAGCAAGTTCCACAGTTTTCTTTTCTATTTCCATGGCATCATGCAGGTGATGTGCCAACTGCAGAAAGTTACACATGTTGCTTTAAATAGTGATGGTTAAGATCAACCAGCACTGAGGCTTATGAGTCCAAAGAACTATGTGACTTTTTTTTTTAAAAAAGCTTTTACCCTTTGCTTTGATCGCTGCTTTTCTCACTCTTGTCAAATCACTAATGAATCCTGCCAAAGTACACATGCAAGTAAAAACCATTTCAGAAGACTTTATGATGCAGCTCACTGAGAGAAGGCCAAGGCTTGACAAAGCAAACAGTGGCTACTTTGAGGAATCAGAATCTAAATTATTTTTTTAAAATGACAATGCCTACAATGTGCAAAGCATTAAACAAAGACAAAAACATTGCATGAGAGAATGAAAGGCTGTGACTTGTAGTGTAGTACCTCTTTTTGAATGGGAGAATGATGAGGTGTCTGTCCAGGCCAAAGATTCCAAATGACAGAAAACCCTGAAACATAATAATATAGATACATGTATAGACTCTTCTGTCCCGTTGTAATAGTAATATATACCACAGTAGCCCATAGAGTGTTACCTGTCCATAGTTGGCCACAGCACAGAAGAACTGCAGCTCCAGATACAGTCGGCCTGGATCTTTGTTCAGCAGCCACCACATACAGCTGGACAGGTTCTAAATACAAAGTTTATATTAGAATCATACAGTCCTCATATTATAATGTTTTCTGTCAAATATATTAAAGGAGCTCTATCTGATTTGGTGTTTACATAATAAAAATAAAAAGTATCTTGCCCCAGTACAAATACGTTGTAAAAGCAGCTCTTAGGGTCAAAATGAGACCACTGTGTGCATTTTCAATGTTTGTGAGCCTGGAAATAAGACTGGTACTCTGCTAGTTGTTAGTATTACCATGAGTGCAAAACTCCCTTCTGGTCTCTCAAAGTTGTGAAAAGTGCTTACAAACTCATTGTGGTGAATAACTTGGATGCTCTGAATGCAGGTAAGTGAAGAATAAATTTGGACCACTGCAAAAAGTTTAAAATGAATTAGTGTGTTAAAGACAGTGGTGAAAATCAGGTACAATGCCTTTAAGTACATTGAAAAATGAAAGAGGTGCTTTGAACAGTTGATGGAATTGTTAGAGAAAATTAGCGGAGGACATGGAGAGGATGAGGAGGCTGATGGTTCTGTTGCTGTGGTGGAGAAAGAGAAAAGGACAGCTGTAGCTAAAAGCATGAAGGCTTGAGTATGATAATATGAATGGTTTGAGAGCTGATTGGTTGAGTGGCAAAGGCAGCAGCTGTGATTGGCTGACAGTAGCAGACAGGTGAAAGAAGGCAGGAAAGAGATTCTTGTAGTCTATGTTAGCATGTCCAAAGTAGTTCTTACTGCTAATAGGCTAACGCTGAGCAGCAGACAGAGCAGCACATGTCTGAGCGTCTGCTTCTCATCTGGAGGGGGACCAGGAGGAGGCAGATTCAGGGGCTGCTCGGACAGAGGAGGACCATCCGACTGGGCTCCATCATCTGAAGAGAGCGAGAGCTTCACTGGATACTGAAAATCTATTCTGTAAATGTGATTTGGTGACTTTACAACAGACTGTAGAGCAAAGCCAAAACTCATTTATGCTCCAAGAGTAGAAACCATCACTGCGTTTATACTTCCAAATGTTTCTAATGTCAAGGCTGTGTTTAAAAAAATCACCAGAGGGCGCTAAAGGTCAGTTTGAGAATTGACCAAAACGGACAAAATAGGACAATAAATAAACAAACACTGCAGGTTTTAGATCATGTCTGTTAGAAAAGAGTCAAGGAAAATGAGGTGAGAGAAGCATTCATTTATCTTCTACTGTCGAACTGTGTTCACTATTGCCCCCAGTGGACAGCTCATGTACAGCTTCATTGCTAAGATTCCACATGTTCTGAGGAGATGGACCAAAATACAGACATAACAAAGCAGAGGATAGACAGAAGCCTCTATGTGCATCCGTATGAGTCTAGAACATAGAGCATAAATGAGCCTTTATTGTCCAAAATCCAAACCCGACACACACCTGAATAATTTCTGAGCCTAGCCCAAGTCTGCACACTCATAGAACTGGAGTTATATTATGTAACCTGTAAGTTCTGAGTGAAGTTTTAATGTAAGAATAAGCCTGTCTGAGGGTTTCATATGTTTACAGGTGCAGTGTTCTAGTGTGTTTCTTGCACCATTAGCCCTGACCCCTGACACATATTATCTCTCTTTCGCTTCTTCATTGACATCTCTCTGTTCTTCTATGCTCCTCTTCTTTTACATCAGCCACACACTTTCATTCAGACGTCTTCTATTCTTATGTTGCGTAATTGACCACCATATGTACTCAGAAGTTAAAGATTCTATCTTGAGATGAAAAAAAAAGAATAGAGATGGCTCAGCGTGGTGGTTCATTCAGAGAGAGCGTATGGGGCAACAGAGCAACACACATACAGCTAGACTATGATAATTACAATATCACCGTATCATTCAATATACGAAAGCTGGAACAATATTTGTGGCTCTATATGTATTTAATATTGGGTATTTTTTCTTCACAACAGTGGGAAGATTTTTGTCATTTTTATGTAGTAAGATAAGATTTGAGCTGTAGAGAGTAGAATAACTAACTTATATGGCTAATTATCTGCTCATACTGCCATGTATTGTTTGCAGCTCAGGCCTTTTAAAGATATTTTCTATTTATAAAGGTTTACTGTGATTATCCTGCTTTGTGTCAATGACATATTATAATTTATTGCAATTTTTCTCTGTAGCAGTATATTGTGCTTCAAAATTGTGTGACAGGCCTATGTACAAAGTAATTTCCAGCTTTGTTGTGGCCTCATGCATGATCCAGGGAAGTGTTCTTAAATCTATTATCACTGAAATCAACACAAAAAATATTTCATTGAGAGTTGAGAGTTTATTTACCCAGGTGGTTGTGTTCTCTTTGGGTGCTGCCGATCATGTCAGGTATGGACTGAGGTGGAGAGCCATTCTGCATGTCTGGAATTAAACAGAAAAAAAAAAATCAGGGCTTGCAGTTTCTATATTTATATCACTATAGTTTATTTATTTGCTAATTTGCTAAATGACATTCAGAAGGAAATATACAGCAATATGATACAAAATCACACATCCACGGTGTACCTGAGTTAATGCTGAAGGCGGAGGGGGAGCTGATCAACAGGGGTGGCTGCTGAAGTGGCTCCTCCCCTCCTCCAGGGGGCTGCAGGTCGTCTGTGAGGCCGGTGACAGCGGCTCTACCCAAAGCTTCGTACCCGCTCTGCTCCCTGCTGCCCTGGCTCAGCCCCATAAGAGAGAGCGCCCCCAGCAGGAGACTGACTGCTAATACAACTGCACTACAGATGATCTACAACGGACAAAGATGTACATAACGTGCATATTTTGGCATTAACTGTTTTTTATAAGGAACTTTCTAAGAATCTGAGCCATGGATTTAAAGTTTGAGGTATTGCTGTTTGAGTAGAGATTTAATAATCTGTCCAAAGTTAAGTGGTTAAAAATTCTAAAAACATCATAGGCCTAAAATGTAATGTTGGCATGGCAAAAAAATACCAGACTGTTACATACTCCAGTGTTCCAGAAACCTTTTTACAAGAGATGTAACAATAACCGAAATATCGTGATATTGTATCATCAAAAGTCTTACAATAATACCGTGGGCTGTCACAATATATAGAATTACAAGTTTGTTTGTTTAAATGCACTGTTTTAAAGCTGCAATAGCTAATAAACATCAAGAACTACATATCCCATGATTCATTTCAGCGCAGACAACATGAGGAAATAGGTTTTTACTTGAAATCATGGAATTATGACAATAATCATTTTGTCAGGGTATTTTAAAAGCAGAAATGTGTTCTATCTACTATTATGTCAGCCTCTCCAAAATATCACAGTAAATATCGTGCTGTGAGATACATATCGTGATAATATCGTACCGAGAGATTTGGATATCATTACATCTCTACTTTTAATGCCAAATATCACCTTGACCTTCCGTGTGCCACCAGATCTAAACCAGGTCTAACTATTCCAGGTAAACTAGGACTAACCAGCTCTGCAATAGGACTACACTTCTGCCCTGAACAAAGACAAGCCTGAATAGGGACAAAAATGTGGATTAAATAGCCTGTCAATTTGAAAAATGTTTGTAGAGGAAACTGTATTGACATACCATCAGTACGAGTGTGTGTGTTTATGCTTTTTGGATATAGTTTTTAGCTTTTGTAGGTTTAAGAAATCCAACTAACCTGAGCTTTGCCATAGAAGAAGGCAGAGTCTATGGAGTCTGTTCTTTCTCCCACAAGCAGAAGACATCCCACCATCAGGAAGGGTACTCTGCCAAACAAACACACCCGTCACATTTGGACTGACAACGTATCAAAAAGACACATTATGCTTTCTTTCTGGTAGTTAGTAGGCAGGTACAAACATACACATACATAGATTGATTAGTCTCTTTATAGTAGTAATTCACTGTAGCATGCTGCACAAAGGGGCTAGGGGATGACTGAAATTTTCTGAGCACTCAAGTCTCCAGTGAAGGACTATAGAGGATCAGGATCTAAGTGAGTTACAGGCCCTTTTTCCCCCATTTATTTGAGCAAACTTCTAGCAGTATAGATGTATTTTATAAGCTGCTCTTGAGGTCAAAATATGCCCTCTCATTTTATTGTCAGATAATCAGGAAGTGTGTGTTAGCATGATAGCTGCTGTTAGTTTTACTGTCCCGACAAAACTTATAAATCGTGGTGAATAATTAGGATAGTCAGAATGCAAAAGGTAAGTGAGGAATAAATTTGGACCACTGCAAACTGTTTAAAATGAACTAGTTCTGTTTTTCGCGCAGACTTACCCCCAGCCAAGGACCATGAAGACCCCTGGCCTCAGCCTCAGGAGGTCATCTCTGTTTGTGAGGGCCAAGCACAGAGGGATCAGACCTGAAACCACAATGTCACGTATGTTAGACTTATTCAGCACTATTATTATGCCTTTACTGTAGAGACTCACCAGTCCAGATGTAAGTGCTGTATAATGAGCCGTAGAGCAAAGTGAAGGTGATGACTTTGCCCACCAGGTTCTCCTCCTGTTTGACCAGGAAGTTCCACAGAATCATACTCACACACACCAGGAACTGTTGACAGACGAGAGGAGGTTACACTGACAGTACAAGTAACACAGTTGTTTCAACTTTCCCCTTGCTATATTTTTTTTGTTTGTTTTTTGTTTTGGAGTACTTTATTGTCCCCGCAGGGAAACTGTCCGTTGCACCTTTCACCCATTCTTTCAGGAACAGTGGGAAGCACATGGAGCGCCCGGGGACCCATCTCCATGACCTTGTTACTTGGCTTGGTCAGGACTACCTCAGCTGGAGGATTTATTATTATTATTGTCTGTAGTAAAATGTATTAGTATGGTATCAGAACACCAGCATTTGTAGCATTGTGTGAACCACCCAACACACTGTAAATAGACACATTCAGCTGTTTATTTTGTTCAGTGGCAATACTTGTTAGCAGTGTCTAGTTCAAGTGTCACCTTTTAACCCTTTCACAACTTTACAAGCTTCAATATATTCTAAATTAAGGTAAGATGATATAATATGATGCTTCTGACCTGAGCCAAAAACAGATTCAGGGCAAAAACATGAGGAAGCCTGTTGAACTTCCTGCTCAGAAGCATCACAGCTATGGTCCACACCTGCACAAAGAGAGAAGGCATGTCTCAATATATAATATATACAATAAGTACTGTACTATAGATTTGTAAGACTGTAGCTCCTTCTGACCAGAGCGAGGAGACAGATGATGCTGATGTTGAAGCTGACGTTCTGCAGCTCTGTGATGAGGGGGGTGGGGTCCATCAGAGGGATTGTCAGTAACCATGCCGACACATACATGATGGGAGCAGACAGGAACGTGCTGATCACCATGCCTGAAGTCACCTGGACAAATGTAAACAGTCAATTTAGTGCCTTGTTCATTGATTTTGCAGAAATTTGTGATGCTTTTTAGTTTCCTGTTATATTTTGTCTACATCTTCTTTCCTCGTTTAGCAGTCATATTTTTTGATACAGATGGATTATGCATGCAGTGAGATTCACTGATGACTCACATCTTCATAAGCGTTGAAGAAGTGTGTATTCTGGATCACAGGAAAGGTGTCCTGGATCAAATGCAAGCAGCAACTTCTAATCTAAATCCTTTTAATCCTTCATATTACTATTTTCATTTGTGAAAAATGGCTAAGTGACAATGTTTTGTAGAGAAAAAAAGGTAAATAAAAAACTACAGGAAGTTGTGCGGTATGCTTGGGGATAGAAAGTAGGTGAAAACGGCAATTTTCTGACCACTCAAACCTGAAATACAGGACAATACAGGATAACTATGCATGACCAACTATAAATACAATTTAGTTTAAGCTTTTCATAAGGGAAAACTGTTATAACTATGGTAAAAAGCTAGTACAATGTGAAACAAGCTGTACATACTGTATTACTGAACAGTTTTTATTCTAAACTCATATATTTTAATGTTAATTTTATGATGATTACTTATGTTTTTAATTGTTTGTATTGTCTTTCTTATTCTGTAAAGCGCTTTGAATTACACTGTATGCCAAATGTGCTATCTGAATAAACTTGCATTGACACAATGTTTATGAGGACTGCTATGATTTCATACATAAGACACTTACTATTCTATTTCTGGCGGTCTTACATGATCCATAGAATCCAGTATAATTCAGAGTAACTTTCTACAGTATACAAGTATAACATACCACTTCCAGCTCCATGTTGTAGTGGGCTGCGTAGATGGCCACACTGGGGGCTGTGGGGAAGACTCCGTACAGAAAGGCAAAGTTAGACAGACTGGTGTGGTTCGGACTGCTGCTGTTTACTCCAACATCCAGGATCTCCACCATGTCCTTACACACCAGAGGCATCACCAGACTGGAACACATACAGAAGATTTTATGGACTAGGTATGAGCCAGTAATAATTATAAGATATTTTATTTTATTTGTTAGGTAAAAATTAGGGATGGGACAAGAAAAAAAAAAAAGAGGGTTAACTTGACTCCTCTTTAGAATTTTTAAAACCAACAAGCTGTGCAACAAAGATAGCAAAACTATAAAATGAAATAAATGAAAAATAGCAAAGCTAAAATAGTGAAATGAATGGCAAAGTTTATTTATTATTATTTATTAAAAATTATATCAAAATCTTGTCTTGTCTCGTGGACCAAAACTTGTGACATGTGGCTCATTTCATCCATAGTAAATGAGCAATGTTACTCACAGTTTCGCTGTAATTAAAAGGATCAAAGCAACTCCAGTGTCCCGAGTCAGTTTCCTAAGCTGGCCGACCTAAACAGACAAGACAAAAAAGGCAAAAATTTAGGTCAGGATGTAAGTATATATGTATATGTATATATGTGTGTAACTCAAATTGTATAATTTATATGTATTAAAAACTCCTCTCAACTCTTTTTTTTAAACCACAAACCAATAAAGGAGCGGTGTAGTCACGTTTTGTGCAGCTGTCTCTTAATATTAAAGTGTTAATATAAAGCTTTGTGTATATATTTTAGGCAGCAGATTGACCAAAACAAAATATAAGGCCAAGAGTCTCTAAAATGTAAAAAATGTTGCCTGCTATAGCATCTGTCTCTACTATCTAGAATGTATTCCTCTATTTAAGTCACCCAAAGGCAAACTGACCATAGAGAGTCCGAGGTAGAACAGAGCCGCTCCTCCAAAAGAGTTGGCGAGTCCATCAATGAACTCAGAGAGCACAGCTGGGATCCGCTGCCCCAGAGCAAAGTGAGACACGATCCCCACTATCACCATGAACACTATGGGGTTTTTCAACACCTGAGCACAGACACAATTATAGTATTGTAGTATTGCCGTATTATATGTAGTATTACAGACAGATTGGGCAGAGTATCCATGCATTGTACTAAAATTGAAAGTCCAAGAAATGTTTAAATTAGGTAAAAAAGAATTTGGGTAAGATATTACTGGTTGCGTTCACCAAATTACAAAATATAATTTTATAGAATAGGCACAGGCATATACAACTCTATGAGCCTTTCACTCATAAATAACAAAACATAATCTTATATTTTTTGTGACTGATTTGGTCACAAAAAATATAAAAAATATTTAAAATTCTTTCAACAATGGCATCTTTTGTGATTTTTTTTTTGTTCATTTGTTACACACACAATAATTATAAGTATTAGTTTTCTTTGAGTGAGCTAAATAAAATTTCTACAAAATCACGGATCTCTGTCAGATGAAAGCTTGCATGATCTAATAATGGTAAAATGGTATAACAATATTTTTGGAGTGTAGCTGTGATAATAAAAATAGTACCTGAAGAATGACAACGGCTACAATGGCTAAAGTGCTGCGCTCGGGGTGGCTGGCCTGTCTCCACCTCTGGATCTCACACAGAGCAAAGCCGATGGGGTTCAGGATCATGAGGGACACAGGGGCCACCAGGTAAATGTACTGCAGGTACTCTGGGTATGTGCTCCGGTACAGGGCCTCCACTGCTCACACACATAATCATCATCGTCACAAGATCTCAGTCTTTTTCTCCACCTGAATGTACCTCCTTTTAATGGTTGATAATTCTTTGACAAGTCCAGTATTACAACCTGTTTTATAAATGCACATTTTCTTAAGACAGTTTAAGCCCATCTATTTAGAACTGCTTTTAATGTCTAACCTACTTTTAAATCATGCCGATATTTTGTTTTTTATATGTACTTTTTTAATTGTATTCTTTGTACAGGGTCTTTAGGTGTTTAGAAAAGCCCTATATAAATAAAATGTATTACTATTATTATAATTTGCATAGATTTACAATTTAAGTCTATCTGTCTCCCATCTGTCTTTATTGAAGGGTATTATTGTGTACTATGGTCCAAAGAAACAAAGAAATGATCTGATAAATGCTATTTGAATCAGCTGCTGTGTGAGCTCCACTTGTCCATGTGAGAACTGATTGATTTTATGTTCAGATTGGGGTTGTGTTGGGGCGTGTTTGGTCAGAACAGACTTTGTGCTTAATTTGCATTAATTCATGATTCATGTGTACATTTTTAGGGGATTCATTTCATTATTTATAGGTGGACTGCAACATGCTGGACTCCATGTTGAAGTACTATAAACTACTCAGCCTGGAATGTTTCACAGTAAGGCATTAAACCCATGTATCCACATGGAGGCAAGGAGGCCAAGGTAGATCAGGTTGGTGGAGAGGCAGGCCCACTCACACAAGAAGGCAAGTTCTTGAGGTGTTTCTGAACAATAAAAATCACCTCCAATGAAATAAAAGCTGAATAGACTTTTAATGCCACACTCTGGAGCATACCAAACAAAGCAATAACATCTCCCTAAAGATAAAAAAAAATATGTGCCCTCCAAAAGAAAAGTTACACAATGCACCTATCTATTGTGATTGTTTCTTTTACAGGTTAAAATGTGGCATGAAACACTGCAAAAATATCTTATCTTACAAAAATAAGACAGTGGGCCTCACCTATGGGGTATCCCAAAGCAAAGTCGTTGCTCTGAGTGGCAAAGATGGCGTAGAGACCGGCCTTGCTGTACCTGCTCTCTGGGCTGGCCACCATCAGTGTGAGCACACACACCAGCACAAACACTGTCACCTGTGTATAAGGAAGCACATGGAGACAGTTTAGTATTCCAGTTTTACAGATACAGATTTATAGGTACAACAACATCCACTTGAAGCACTAACTTAATCCACTGCACCGATGATGAAAACAAAAACACAATTCATTCATCAGTGTATATTCACTAACTTACCTTTGCTACTAGAACACTCCACAGAAATGCCCAAATGACATCCCCAAAGTCCAGCAGCACCATGTTTTTAAAGAGCAGTGCCGGGAGAGCAAACTTAGACACGAAGTTACCCAGTCCCTTCGCTTGGGTCTCTGTAATGATGTCAGTCCTGCAAAGTAAATGGAGAATGGTTTTAGAAGCATCTAACAATACCCATCAAAAACCGTGGCTCCATTTCTTGCGATCGCTAAAATTTGTAGGCCTCTGGTATTTTCATTTTAGAGCTCACTGGAGAAAAAGGTTGGAGACCCCTGGACTAGTGAGCCTGGGGCCTGGGGAATTTGGGACTTGTGTTCCTATGATTTTATATGTAACATATTACAATTACATGGCTAGAATTATACTTGAGTAAAAGTAGGTTAAAAAATCTACTCAAAAGTATAACTGCCACCAAAGATACACTCAATTATACCAATTCAAGCATTTTTTGTGCACACTCTCTTTTCCACTCCTGTTTATACCTCCCAGCGATGTATCCACACATGATGATACCGAAGCACTCCAGGAGAGCAGGAAACAGTTTGTCTATGGACATCTGTGGTCCAGCCGCAGACCCACCCAAAGAGCTGTGGGAGATGTTCTTCCCATGGATCAATACGTAGCTGTTTACAGTCTCCATGGTGACCGGAGCACACTGGACAGGGCCGGAGAATCTGCAGGTCTAGAAGAGGAAGCACATGGACTGCATTATATATCACAACTGGATCAAGACAGCAATTTGAGTCACAAAGGCAGCAGTTATTCAGTGTTTCTGGAATACGTGTATATCACTGGTGGTATTTGGGCTGCTTCTGGTGGTATGCAGTGTCCACTGCAGTTTTAATGTTTGTAGTCCTCTTTTGGGTTAATCATCTTTGACAGCTGATGCAGTCTAATTTAACCCAAATTTAGGTTTGATAAAGTCCTGTTGGTACTTGGAAAGCTAAATATTAAAATAGCTATTAAAATAATACTTACAAAAATAGATATCTATCAAAATCAAATCAGAATTTGAAACCTTTTTTTCATCCAGCTTTAAGGAATATTGTAAGCTAAAGACAATGTATAAATCAATTGTTTGGAGTTTGTTTTTGGTTTTTAGGTAGAGTGACTGATGTCCACAGTTTTTGGTAAGTTTATCTAGATATTTGTAAAAAATTATAAGCTTCTGGTCCCAGTATCTAAACATAGGCAGAAAAACTTAAATTGAGCAACAGATAATAGCTATGAGTAATGCAAATGGCATCAAAATTGCCTAAAGGTTAATGTCACCAACTTTAATTAGCAGGCTGTTTCATTGTTGAAAAAATAAATATATTGAAATCAAATGTAAAACATAGACCCTATATTTGAACAGTCAATTATATGGAAGAAATGCATGTATTGTTGGTATATCACATTATTTAAATCTAGCCAAGTTAAAGCCTGGAAAATCTCGCTATAAATAATTAATAACAAAAAAGATTTGCATGGCTACCTCCCACGATGTTGAACACAGTTAAAGCATCAGTTTGTCAGTTTTTCATACAAAAACAGCACAGTTTTAATGATAAATCTGCATGAACGCTAATTAGATGCCGCGCAAAATCAGCTATTGTCACCTCCAGCTGACTGGGCTAGCAAGGTGAGCTACATGCTAAAAACATGACGGCTAATGGCTTCCGCGTGCACATCTGGCATTTTTCATTAGATCTACACATTTTGCAGTGCTTACCGATTGGATTTATGTTGCTGTCATTGCACAAACGCTGTCAAGTCTGTGTGGATCATCTTCGCTCGGGCAAAAGCCGTGTTTTGCAGATGAAAAGGGGTTGAATCTGACAGCTGCCCGGAGAGGAAACGCCCCGCGGGAGTGACGGACAGGTCAGACAGCCAATCACGAGGCAGGATTTTAGAGAATAGGCGGGGTTAGGGTTGGTCATGTGACAAAAGTGTGATTACTGTAATTATGTAAGTGAATAGTAATTATATTCGCAAGGAAATTAAAGTAGTTTGGTAACGTCTCAGATCAATGTGTCTTTAAAGGGCTTATGTTTATGTTCTGATCTATATTATGTTTTTGTAATGTTTCCTCATCAAAACTATACCAGGGATTTTGTTTCAGTTCATTCACACATGTTTAACACACAAAGCTTGCATATTGAGGCTGAGTTCTTCTCTCAAACAGAAAACAGTCTGTTCCACCTAGTGATGTCATCTGGTAATACAGGAAATGCTCCACTGTGTTTTAAAACACCACACTGATTAGAATCATTTGGATGATTTCAGGCCTGGAATTGTCAATCTCTACTGGACAAAAGGTAAAATGCAGCTGTTAATTGAAAACTACTGCTTCATGACATCAAAAGGTGGAACAGAGCATTATGAGCTTTGGAGATATAGACAGACTATTATATATATATATAGAATAATAAAGGGTTACTCAAACATGTGTGAATAAAACAAAACACAACCCCAGATATGTTTTTAAGGAGGTAACATGGTGTCATGTGATAAACAGGTGAGCCTACTGTAATTATGTAAGTGAATGGCAATTACATTTGCACAGGAAATTAAAGTAGCTCTGAGGCGTTTCAAATCAAGTTGATTCAAAAACAGAAAGCTGCCCCACGACCCACCCTGGATTAGTGGAAGAAAATGGATGGATGGCATCTAATGGCTACATGTGTGGACAAGTGCACATGGTCCCTTTTGAATGAACAAACAATGTAAATGAGATCTTATAAAAAAAGAAGGTTAAACAGTATATATAAAACTAAAACTATTCAAATACATTTAAAATAATTTTAGCACAATTGTCACCTCTATAGTAATTTATTTTATTTATGTATTATTATTATTATTATTAGTAGTAGTAGTAGTAGTAGTACTAGTACTAGTATTTTGTAAACAATTTAGACCTCTGATCCTGGCATATTCCTTTCAGCCACACATGCTGAACTGTACAAATTCAGTTGATAACAAAAGTTGCACCTTTCAGCTGAATTTTTTTCAGTAGAAAATAGGTTATAAAAACTACAAAAGTCATTTCTTCCAACGTCAAAATCTACTTAAGACCTAATTAAAATCCCATGTTCCTTTGTTGTGTTACAGCCTCACGTATGTCTTAGTCAGATCGATACAATCTTCCCTCACTACATTAGTAAAGTGGGTCAGTCTCACCACAAGTCTCATTTTAAACCGCTACTGAAACTCAAAACACTAAACTCACATGCATAAATTTAAGAGCTGTCACGATATCAAACTTCAGTGTTATGATTATTGGCCTTGTTCACATGCACATCAAAATCTGATTATAATCTGATTTATGGACCTTTAAAATGCCATAAATGACATGTAAACTGCAAAATCGCATGTGAGTATAGAGGGACCATGATCTGAAACATGCCATTTTAAAAATTTTATAACCCCAAAAATTTGATAATTATTTGACTTTGAGTGTGCATGTAACCGCAGCTATTGTGAGAAGAAACATCACATTTTAACACATTTTTACAATTAATGACACACAACAAAGCAAAATTCTTAATTTGTCTTTTTTTTTTTAAAGGTCTTATTTTGTGTAAAATTGCTTATTATGAGCTTTAAGTCATGTTAGAACATTGGTAACTCCTCAAAAACATACCTGGAGTTGTGTTTTATTTCATTCACACATGTTTACAGTACATCTTCAACACTCAGAATGCCCTGTTCCACCTTATGATATCATGTAGTGGTAGTTTTCAAGTTAGTTACTTGTCATGTAGTGGTAGTTTTCAACAGCTACTTTTTACCTTTTGTTCAGTGGAGATTGGCATTTCGAGGACTGAACTCATCCAAATGATTTTAATGAAGGTATATGGAGTTTAAAAACACAGTGGAGGACTTTCTGTATTACCACATGACATCACAAGATGGAAAAGCATGCTTTCTGTTTCAGGGAAGCCTGTGTGTGTGTTAAACATGTGTGAATGGAACAAAATATAAGGTAATTCTGGGTATGTTGTATGATGAGGAAATATATTATATATAATAACATAGATCAGAAAATAGCATAATATCTAAAACTGTATCTGAAAACTAACAATACTGACTTTATATCACTGCAGGCAGTATGAAAATCACTCAATATAAAGATGTAATGCTTTCCTGTGTTTTCCTATAATGAGTTACCCATTACATAATTACAAAACAACTACTACTGGTATATTATTGTCAATATTAAAATAAGACATTGAATACAAATGGGTGTGCTTAATTCATCAAGTTTATTCTCAGTGTAAAAATGAAAGTGTTATCAAAACCTTCTCAGTTATATGCAAATAAAATACATTAAAAACATAATTGGGGATCGTCATGCATTGTAGTGTTCTGTGGTTTGTAAAATCATAAGGCAAAAATCCAAACTGCAAGGTATCGCAATGCAGCTTCATGACATTCCCAAAAATAAAAAGAATATACGTTAAATATATACATTTCAATTGGCTTGCCTTTAAAAGAAGTAGCGTCCTTCTGTGACATCAGTGGTTAGGTAGGATAGAGCTAAAGCTGCGTAAAACTAGTACGTAAACTATAATAGAATTAGCATTATAGATTATTGCATGCAGCTAACTAATACAGTACTCGAGAAACTAAACATTTCTATCACAACAGTTTTTCAATCTGACACATCTAAAACATTGTTAAAGGTGCACTGTGTAACTTTTTAGTTGGGGATCTGTCACTAGATCTTGTTTTTGTGGATATATCATTTCTGTGCCTGGGATGTTCCACAATATGACATTAAACAGCTCTACCTTATGTTGATTCAATAACAGGTGGTTTTATAGCTCAAAAATACCTAGAAAAACAGACATTCTGACTGTGGGCGGTGTCGTCTCTCCACAGATCTGACGTGTAACTCGGTCTGGTTTGGTGAAACATTCCAGACAAAGCAATAACATCCATGGAGAAAAGCATTTGACCCTCCACCAGAAAAGTTACACAATGCATCTATAATAACTATGTTTTAATTTGTAATTTAGCCTTGTTTTGGTCCTGGTTTTAATCTGGAAACAATCTGATCAGTAAATAACACTATATATATTTGGTTTGAATTCTATGAGCAGTGGTGGGAAGTAATGCAATACTAAAAATACGTATTTGGAATTCTAATTTTGAGGTGAGAAAAAGAGAAAAAATGGCCATGTGGTCTGTGCATGTGCGATTTTTGCTTTTTATGCGAAGCAAACCAAAACTAGTGAAGTTGCCATCACTGGAAATACAAGATAAAGTCTGCGTTTAGTTAGAGACTATTATTTTTCTGTCTAATAAACTGATAGTAGATTTAATCCTATGTCACGTTTTGACCACAGACTGTATAAAGAAGTGGACTAAGGAAGTGTGACGTCATCCATAGTGTCCAGCTCCGGTCAAATGAGGCTCACAGATGCTGGCAGTTACAGGGGCAAATTTGGAGCCGAGTTCCACATTAGGAACAGATTTATGGACAAAACAGCTAAATAAAAACACCAGGAGCATGTAGAGTGAGTTAACATAAACATCAAGACCAAAATGATGAGGCTCACGGCAGCAGTTACAGAGAGGTGTGATGTTTTTTCAATACAAAGTGAACTGGAGCCAGAGTCCATGGAGCCAAACGCACGCCCATGCTCACTTCCTATGTGGAATGTCATGGCTAGCAGGTTAGCAATGTCCATTTATATATACAGTCCGTGGTATCTACACTATAATGTAACACCACTAAATGTGATACTAAAGTGTTCTAATTATGCAAAATACAGCAGTTGCATTCTAACTAAGTATTTTCCCCAACACTGTCTAAAGTTCAGGATATCGTAATCTTACTTTGGTATAACTCTACTTAAAACAGAAAATTGGCTGACTGTAAAATAAACTGCTACCCCTGCAGCTTTAGGAATAACTACAGTCATTAAACACAGCAAACACTTGGATAGAACAGTACAGCACCAAGATAAGAACAAAGGGAGGGCTTTTGGAGAAATTTCTTTTCCTCACTGAATGTCTCTTATTCACTGTCCGCTACACAGGTGTGTGTCAGTGCAGGATTCGATGGAGGTATCTGTCCGGGTCTGCCTCCCCTCCTCCTCCTCCTATTCCTCCTCTCCTGCCCCCCACTGCCCCGCTCCTGCCTGGCCGCTCCCCTGGTTCCTCTCTGGGTCCTAGGGGAGAGGGACAGTCCCAGCTGTGGTCAGCAGGGGCGCTGTGGTGCAGGTCGGACTCGGGCTCGCTGCAGGGGTCTTCAGGGTCTTTGTCTGCAGGACTCTGGGAGCTCTCTCCAATCCTGAAACAAGTGGAGGGAGCTTCACTTTGCTGTTCCAGCTACAAAAGACTACATTTTTCATGTTTTCATAGATCACAATTGGAGTGACCACAATCTCAAAAGCAGTACAATATTATTGCAATTTAGTATAATGAAATGAAAAGTAGTATCCTGGGTCAGAAACACATGCTTGGAACACCAATGTTTACTCATACTAAATAAGTGACATTCCACTCTGATGTCAGCAGTAACAAAATAGCCTAATGTGTTGGATAACACAGTCGTCGTGGGTTAATTCATAGCCCAAAACCTAGTCCAAAACCTGCCACATAGACCTGGTTGATTTCTTTAAATTTCTTTACATTTTTCTCCAGCAATATGATTTTAATTTTTTTTCCCCCCTCCACTAAAAATATTCTGTGGTCTACAGAAAAAATGTAAGGATCAAGGATCATATTTAAACCATCGGCCATTAGAGAAACCTTTTAGGAATGAAATAAAACAAACTACTGTATTAAATATGCACCCCCAGCTTACTATGATATCACAAATTTCAAAGCTGCATGGCCCAATTTTCAATGCAAGAAAGTGGAAAAAATAAAAATTGTTTTTTTTTTTTGTTTCTTTCTTTTTTTCAAATTTAGTCAATCAAATTAATAATTTTTTTGTGCAGATCCACTCCCACAGGAAAATTGTTCTGAAAGATGGATATTTTTTCTTTGGTTGTTTTCTGTACAAATTTAAAACCCTATCGCATAACTGTAATAGATGTATGGAAATGCTGTTCCATTGACTATAATGTCATAAAACCTCCTGACATTTCTGCATACTCTCTGTGTACCTGAGGTGGTTGAAGGCTCTGATCCAGTGAGCTCCCAGTGCATCTTTTCCTCTGCTTCTCAGGCCCCTCCTCTGGCCTCGTGCCCTCAGAGCGATGAGGGCCTGTGCCAGCTCCGCCTCATCCCCTCTGCCCCACACCAGCTGTGCCCTCTGCTCGGCATCCTGGTCCCCCGCAGCCCTGAACAGCCTCTGCAGCTGCCACAGGTGCACCGAGCTGAAAATGTTAGCAGAGCCCGCCTTCCTGCTTCTGCGATCGCTCAGTCTCCACACGGACGAGGGCCCAGCCATCACCGCCCCTGAGGAGGCAGCAGGGGGCGCCGTGCCGGAGTCCATCCACACCAGCACCGGGGACGGGGGCATATATGTGCACTCAGCTGGGAACAACAGGAAAAGTACAGACAGTTATTATACTGATTTCAGTGATTCTGTGACATAGAAAGGACTTAACTGAGAAACCACAAACATTCTATTAAAAGTCAAGTCATCTGAAGATGGTTTAGTCCTGGTTCAGTCCTGGTTTATAGACCTGGTTCAGCCCTGGTTTAGTTCTGGTTCAGTCCTAGTTTAGTTCTATTTTAGCCCTGGTTTAGTCCTGATTTAGTTCTCTGGTTAATAGTCCTAGTTTATAGCCCTGGATTCTAGTCCTGGTTCAGTCCTGGCTTAGTCCTGGCTTTAGTCCTGGTTCGGCCCTGGTTTATAGTCCTGGTTCAGTCATGGTTCAGTCCTGACTTAGTCCTGCTTTAGTCCTGGTTTAGTCCTGGTCAGCAATAGTTAAAGCAACAGTGTAACATTCATGACCTAATTTGAGCTCATTAGTACCAATCCTTGTCAAATTCTATATTCATTGTCCGTTTAAAAACCAATATCTAATTTGTCTGGCTGCTGTAACTGAATAATAACAACTGGATTTATTTGGAATATAAAAGCATTAGTTAAAATAATTAGTTGCATTTTTGAGTAAACATATAGTGCCATATTTTTAACCTAATTTTGCTCTTTAATTCGACTTTTTTCATGAGTTTGTTGAAAAAAACAAACCTGATGCACTGAGGATAAACTGTTAATATAAACCAACCCTATTCATTTCATTCAAGGAAAATATATATGTAATATCTGGTATATTCTTTGAACAATACACTGTGCTGGGTCATGGGGACAAGTAAAGGCAGCCTTATGATCTCTTATCTCATGAGCAGAGAGCTGAAAATCATTAAATAAGTATGACTAATGTTGTTCATGTTCCACTGATTCTACAGCAGTTTGTACAACAGTAATATTATTTTGTGACTGTCCAAAAATACATATTCTTGTGTATGTTTTTCTTCTTCTTCTCTCTTTGTTTTTTTAAATTTTTTTTATAGAAGTGTATTTTTTAACTGTGCCTGTTTGTGGGCACAACATATGCTGTTTACACCATAATCACAACGTCATAAAGGGGGAAATGAAACTCACACTAGGTACAAGCTGGTGGTACACACTGGTGGCCTTTTTGAGAGAAAGAGTGCACAAAAACCCAGCAGTTTCAAATTGATATTGTTTGCAAAAATAATTAATTTGGGGAAAAACATGTGGCCAAAACTAACCGTTATAGTTTACGTTAAAATGAGTGTTAAAAAAATCCTACTTCACAGACTTATTGATCAAAGGGCCCATATTACACCACAGTATTTTCTGATCTATGTTGTAATGTTGATTCTTCATCACAAACATATCTAGAGTTGTGTTTCGTTTCATTGATTTGCACACATTTAACACACAAACCCTGCATATTTAGGATGAGTTCTTCTTTCAAACTGAAAACACTTCTACCTTGTGATGTTATGCGGCAATACAGGAAATGCTCCACTGTGTTTTTAAACTCCACTAGAATCATTTCGATAATTTCAGATCTGGAATTACCAATCTCTACTAAACAAAAGGTAAAAGGTAAATAATAAAGGATTACTCAAACATGTGTGAATGAAACAAAACACAACTCCACATATGTTTTTGATGAGGTAACAACATTATTACATGTCAATCTTATTATCAGCGTGGTATCAAAATCAGTATTCCTTAGTATTGAAATTGAAATTTTAGTGTCACAACAACACTATTTCAGATACTTTTATAGGCCTGTCAGGATAATTACAATATTGACATATGGTTCAATATATGATAAATAGAACAATAATTTTAGGGGGCAGTTTTTATTGTCGTACTTTTTCTTTGTAGTAGTGGGAAATTTTCGTTTATTTTTTCTGCAATATGATTAGATTTGAGCTATACATGGTTGAATTGTGAACTAAAATTACAAAAACAAATGAGTTAAGTGTTGTATTCTGCTATTTATTTATACAGCTCAACAATATGTAACAATATTTACATTTAGAATGCTTTTTGTGGATAATTTTGCTTTCTGGTTTGGTTTAGATTATTGTTTATCATCTATATTGACTTAAAGGTGCATTGTGTAACTTTTCAGGTGGAGGGTCCGTCAAATGCTTTTCTCCATGGAGATGATGGCATTAAACCTTTCTTTCTTCATGGAGACCAACCCAGACCAAGTTACAGGTCAGATCTGTGGAGAGGTGACCCCACTCACAGTCAGAATGCAGTTCATCAGTTTTTCTAGGTATTTTTGAGCTATAAAACCACCTATAATTGCATAAATGTAAAGTACAGCTGTTTAATGTCATACTGCAGAACATTCCAGGCATAGTAATGACATATCCATAGAAACAAGCAGGACAAGAGTGGACCCCCAACCAAAAAGTTACACAGCGCACGTTTAAGCAATATAATCGCACAAAATTTCAGCGTTTGTTATCGTGACAGACCTACTGTTACACTTCCATACTAATTACTACTTAACCTTTCAGTTTACATTACCAAACCAAATCTATTATAATTACTTCTCCATTTTGTGCCACAGCATTTGCATGACTTCTCATTAGCCTATGCACAGACAGTATCTCTGTGTTCTCCATTGTGACGTCTGTAGTAGTAATGAGAGCCGTATTGTAAGTCATCTGCGCGCGCTTTAATCCTCTAATACAGGAGTGAGTGTGCGTAAACCACTTAGTGCAGATGGTTCCTCTGTCTGCTCCTGGGTGCATGCGAAAATATAGGCCACTCATTAAGGGGAGAGGGAGTTTCAGTTTCATTTGTCAGCAGTGGTGAGGTCAAACGGGTCCCTGGGTTTCAACTGAACAGTAGGATATGACTTAGTAGATGTTGTGTATAGTGTTACAAAGAGGTTAAGATACAGTTTTAATCCGAATCCTATTACCTGGAATATGTTTTTTGCATTTTCTTGTCTCTTGAATAAATATATAATAATGCTTCATTGAAGTCTGATTAATTTTCACAGACATCATACCAAAATTGATTAAATTAAAATTAAAAACTTCAAACTAAATCTGGAACAAACCAGGGTTGAAACAGGACTAAATCAGGACTGAACCAGAACTACAACAGGACCAAAACAAGTCTACATGAGGATTAAGCTGGGCTGACCCTAGACTAAACCAGGACTGACCCAGGACTGAACCTGGACTACAACAGGACTACAACAGGACTGCAACAGGACTAAACCAGGACTACACCAGGACCAGGACTACACCAGGACTACACCAGGACTAGGACAAAAACAAATCAAATCGACATCAGGACTAAACTGGGTTAAGTGGGAGCACCACCTTATCGAACTTTGGAACTGGTTTGACAGTAATTTAGTGCTGAGTTAAACCTGGTTTAGCTCTAGTTTAGTCCAACATTAAACCTAGTTAGTTGCTCTTACCCTACTTTAGAACTGGTTAAGTCCAGTTTCATTCTTGTTGTCCTTTTCTTTAGACCTGTAGTTTGGACCTGGTTTGGTCCTGTAGTTTAGACTTGGTTTAGACCTGGTTTAGTCCTGTAGGTTAGCCCTGGTCCTGTGGTTTGATCAGGTTTAGTCCTATAGTTTAGACCTGGTTTAGTCCTGTAGTTTGGACTTGGTTTAGTCCTGTAGTTTGGACTTGGTTTAGTCCTGTAGTTTGGACTTGGTTTAGTCCTGTAGTTTGGACTTGGTTTAGTCCTGTAGTTTGGACTTGGTTTAGTCCTGTAGTTTGGACTTGGTTTAGTCCTGTAGTTTGGACTTGGTTTAGTCCTGTAGTTTGGACTTGGTTTAGTCCTGTGGTCTGGACGTGGTTTAGTCCTGTGGTCTGGACGTGGTTTAGTCCTATATTTCAAGACCTGGTTTAGTACTTGTTTAGTCCTAGTTTAACAGATTTCATTTTAGGTAAAAATTTGACACTTGTAGTAAAGTATTATCCATGCAAATCAGCAATTGTATTTTATATTTTAAGTCAATAAACAAAAAACACGTTTCCTATGTGCAGCTTTACTAAAAATATCTTACTACATAAATTATTAATTCTAACTACTGATTGTGTAAGATCAAGACAGCATGTACCCACAGACCACATGCATAATCCAGTGTAGTTACATAGCTACGCCTACTGAAATACTAGTTGTGAACCAATATTTACATTAATAAATCTAAAATAAAGGAATAATTAGGCCCAGTGTGCAAAATGCAAAACGCAGCATGCCCTATTTATATTATTTTTATTATAAAGTCCGTGCGTAAATTCGTGTTTTCTTCACAATTCAAAGCTGCAATTCAATGACGCGCCTGCACCACTCAGTCACACGTCGTCAACAACAAGGTTTTCTGGGTTGAATTGCCAAACAAAGAGCAAAAAAGCGAATGCATATTGTTGTAACCGTGCAGTAGTCTAATCTTACCGAAGCTAAAGATATTTTAGTGTAAGAATCATCGCTTTACCTCAAACGAACAGCTCCGAATGCGTTCCTCTTCTTCTCATTTCGCTAAATACAGTGAAAAAATACAGTAGCGTTCTTTCTTTTCACCTGCGATCCATTTGTGCCCTCTATCCACCTGTCAATCACGCGCGTCGGCCAATGCGCTCTCCCGTGCGTCATTCAGAGCGCTAATCCCGTCCAATAAGGATCGGAGGGAGGCGGGGTTTACAGCGCTAATCCCCGCCTTTTGAGCGACGTGGTATTGACGTCAATGAGTTTGGCAAACCTTGCGCCTGTCAGATCTGTGAGGAAGAGGAGAGGCATGTGATACGCGCAAGCAGTGACGCAAACTAATGGACACTAAATACACAGATTAAGATTAAGACATGAGTGCACTGCTGCTGACTCCTGGGTGTAGAAATGAAAAAAATGTGGAATAAGGGGTGCTATAAGTTTGGAAAGACCCGTGGGAAGGACTTGAGGGATGTCTGGGGCAGTCGTGGATTGTAAACGGAGTAAAAGTAATAAAGTACTGAACTTAGAGATGCATTGTGTAACTTTTGCGTCCGTAAATGCTTTGTCTGGAATGTTTGACGGTATGAATAAACCTTTCTGTCATCATGGAGACCAAACCAGACCATGTTACAGGTCAGATCTGTGGAGAGGCGACCCCGCTCACTGCCAGAATGCTATAAAACCACCTATAATTGAATAAATGTTGTTGTTTAATGTCATATTGTGGAACATTCAGGGCAGAGCAATTACATATCCATAGAAACAAGCAGGTGACGGAACCCCAACCAAAAATTTACATATCACCTTTAAGTAAGAAAAAACTGAAACTGTACTTTACTTAAGTACTTTTTAAAGTGAATATTTTTTTTACTTTTTCTTCACTACATCTGAGAGCAGGTATCTATACTTTCTACTCCACTACATTATTGAACTGGACTGAAAAGTAAAAGTATTTTTTCATAATAGTGTAAGACCAGCTGAAAAGGCCAAGTGTTTATTTTTTTAACACATTCTTAATATGAGCAAACAGAAATATACAAAGAAAAACAACTAGGAAAAAAACATCAATTCATTTGTTTCTGTTGAACAAAATTCAGCACAAATCTGTATTGAAATCACAACATTTGAAGCTTTAGATCTGAAAATCTGCGCAAAATACTTTTTACTCTTTAAGTACATTTTTAACAGGTACTTTAATACTTTAACTTAAGCAGATTTGGTCATGTGATACTTTTTTGTGAGTAGATTTTTGCTCCAGTATCTGTACTTTTACTTAAGTAACAAAATCGAGTATTTCTTTCACCACTGGGCTAGGGTATATAGTTGCTGTTACAATCTTTTATCTGAGTATTATCAGTGAGTAGAGAAGCCAAAAAATGTTCTCAAGTAAGAGTAATGTTACTTCAAAATAATATTACTGAAGTAGAAGTACCTTTAAGTTAAAAATAAAAATAAAAATTGTATCTGTACTTTACTTGAGTACTTTTTAAAGTGGATAATTTTTACTTTTTCTTCACCACTGAGAGCAGGTATCTGTACTTTCTACTCCACTGCATTACTGAACAGGACCAACGTGTTTTTTGTAATAGTGTAAGACCTGCTAAAAAGGCAGAGGGTTTATTTTCATATTCATACATTACACATTCATAATCTGATCAAACAGAAATAAAAAAATCAACTAGGAAAAAACAATCAAGTAATTTGTTTATGTTGAACAAATTTCAGCACAAATCTGTATTAAAATCACAACAGTTGAAGCTTTATTAGATCTGTTTTGTTTTGCAAAAGTTAAACATAAGTTTTCGTTTTTAGCCATAAGATTTGGATGAGAATTAGAATAACTTTGGTCTGAAATTCCGACAGTTTGATTACCCGTGCGTAATCTGCGCGGTACATGTTGTTAGCATTAGCATTAGCAAGTGTCTCGGTTGCTAGGCGACGGGGCGGCTCCGTGGGCTACACCTGTCACATTTCAGCTACGGTGAGGGCTACAGCCTTCACAGCCTTCGAAAGCTGCCGCCCTTGAATTGGAACACGGCTAATATGAATAAAAAAATAAAAAATAAAATAAAGGTCTATAGGAGATGTGACGTGTATCAGGTGGAGGTCACGTGTACCAGGTGGAGGTCACGAGTTTCCGGTCTGGAGTGGAGCGCATTTATCATGGGACACATTTACTCATGATGGCCATAGTTATCCTGCCACTAAAAACAGTCTTACCCACTCCACAAACACCCGAAGCTAATTATATTACAGACTGTTGATGTGAATGTCTGTCGATAGTCAAGTCAAGTCAGTTTATTTATATAGCACATTTAAAAACAACCATAACAAGTTGCGCACACAATGCTTTACATCGTGAAACATAACATAGTGAAACAATAACACAAATATAAAATGTATAAAATATTACATAAGAGAGTGACTTGATACACAAAGATAATAGTCTAAAATAGAGCTCGTGGGCTGTTGAAAAACTGTTTTTAGGAAGGTTTTAAAATGAGGCAGGGAGGAGCAAGATCTCAGGTGATGAGGGAGAGCAAAGCTTGGGGGCCACAACAGAGAAAGCTCGACCTCCCCTGGTTTGAGGTGGGATGGTTGGATGGACAGTAGGTTGAGAGAGTTTGACCTGAGAGACTGGGAGGCTGTGTGGGGGGTTAAAAGATCAGTGATGTACTGTGGTGTGAGTGAGTTGAGTGATTTAAAAACAAATAATACAATTTTAAAATAAATTCTGTATTTAACAGGTAACCAGTGGAGTTTGGCTAGGATGGGTGTAATATGGTCTCTCTTTTTGGAAGCGGTGAACGTCTGGCAGCAGCATTTTGGACTAACTGTAACCTATTTAGGGAGGATTTTGGGAGGCCTGAATATAATGCATTACAGTAGTCCAGTCTATTTGTTACAAAAGCGTGTATGATTGTTTCAAAGTTACTGCGTGTTAGGATTGGTTTTAATTTAGCAATTTGTCTTAGCTGAAAAAAATCAAGTTTTAACAACATTTGAGATCTGTTTCTCAAAGTTTAAAAGAGAGGCCGTAAAAACACCAAGGTTCTTTGCAGAACTGTGCAAATTTGTGGCAAGAGGCCCAAGGTCAGATGTGAGGGTGTATTTAGTTCATTAAAAAGTCAATACATGTTTGTCCTGTCCCCGAGTGGACTCAGTACTGATGCACATCACCAAAACCATGGCGACCAAACCCTGAGGGAACTGTCTTTATTTTGTATGGCATATATTATCAGAGGTGAGTAGAGTCATGATAGATGTCAGAATAATTTTATTATCCCATATTTGCTAAATACTTGTGTGATATTCTAGGCCTATGAGTTAACCATTTATGTACTACAATTCTTTGATTTATAATGTACCAATCACTTGTATGAATATGAATAACCTCTTTGTGTTTGACAACTGTGCAGTGACCTATCGCTCTTGTGAACCTCGAGATGATTCCTCACATGAAGCCAACTCCCACTGTCACACATGCAAGAGTTATGATGGTGTCTGACTATACCTACGGCACCTCCTGATTGTTAATCATGTTTTATGTGTTTATACTATGCTTAGCTGCATCAGTTTCTTATTATGTCTTTGCTGGTTCCCCCTTCCCCTTGAGAATTATCATTCTGTAACTAGGGCCTCCTAATGAAATAAAAGGAGGAGAGCGGCCTTGAGTCATCAGAACGTGTGGAGACTGTTGGTTTTGATGCCCACTCTCTGCCCGTTCTCCTCATGAGTAAAACTGAATTAATCTCTTGTCTTTCTTCTTGTTTTAAATGTCTAGATAAACCTAACATAGAGTAGCCAAAAACTGTACTCAAATAAGAGTGACTTCAAAATAATATTGCTCAAGTAGAAATACATAGTAGTAGTCTAAATTATAGCGTAAAAATGTATGTAGGAAAAGTAATGGTAAAACTAACTGTAAGAGTGACTGTCGGGATGTGACATCAGGAATTAAAACTTCTATCATCTACAGGAAGACAAGCAGATGGAGTCACGAGTATGTTACAAATCAGATCTGTGGAGAGGTATGCCTGCTCAGAGTAAGAAAGTTTTCTCTGACAACAAGTTTAATCTCAAAACCAAGTCACTGCAGCTCCATGAAGCAGATGGTGGACCCCTCATTACAAAAGTTACACAGTGTTTTGTATTTATTTTGCACTTATATTGCTGAACATATAACTTTTTTTTTTTTAAGTAGGTGCGGGAAGAGACCAAAACCCCAACAATGCTTATGCTTAATCCAGGATGCAGGATGTGACCAAAGTCTAGGGTTGAATAATTTGGAAATTGTAATGGAAATTTATATTGTGGAAAGATTTCTCTCAATCTGTCTTTGTGTAAATGAATGTGATTTCTACCTGAGACCAGACTAAATATTAACATGTGTAAAAACTCAACAGATTCAACTGTCCCCACCCTACAGGAAACTGGGTGTTGTCTTTGTTGTCCTCAAATGTATGTTATCATCAGCCTGTGAGACAAGTGTCACTCTGCTTTGATATGTATGTAACTTGTATTTTTGTGCTCTGGGGAGAGACTCGGGGCAGAGACTGGGGTGTAACATTGGAGGGACATACTACTGGGGAGGGGAGGATGGTGGTTCGTGGCCAGGGCAGACCTAGGCCCTGTCCATATCTGCTGAAACAAGAATAAACCTTTGTTTGTATTCCAAAAACTCATTGGGCTTCACAAATTGATTAATTATTTATCATCAAGAAATACATAATTTTTTCCACAACAGAAATATTTAATTGCAATTTTTCTGATAACCACTGTGATTGTGATTACGGTGGTCTATGTTTTGATAATAGGATTCAGTTCAAAGTTCACAATTAAAACCTGTCCAGAAGAACTGACCAAAAGACTGAAATATGAACAGATCTAAACTAGGGGGTTGGCAGCTTTTATGCAGAATAAGAGCGGATATTTTGTTGTTTGTGGAGGAAATCATGGTACTCAAAGTAATTACAACCTTTACGATTGGCTAATTGCGTCAATTCAAATTAAGATTGAGATTTGTTTGTAATTGATCTTGCAATTTTACCACAGCTATAATCCAAATTTCGTGCTCTCATGTCTTAAATCATTGTAATAAACATTGTAATTAAAAA